ATTGGTTAAGAGCTGGCTTGGGACGCCAGAGGGCCCCAGTTCGGATCCCACATATGAGGGCCAGTGACACTGCCCTCCACAGCTAAGATACTGAACAACAGCTCAACCTGGAGCTGGGCTGCCGTGAGTCACCGGCGACGACGTAGGCTGCAGCCCCTGTGGCAGTGGGTTGCCATGGGCTACCGTGTGTAGCCAGCAGCTGCAGTGAGCAGCTTGCTGTCCAGAAGCCGGAGACTGATCTGCCTTACCCAGGAAGAGCGCAATGATGGTGCCAACTTGGGCCAGTGAAGCAACGTCCTCCACAACTAGACTGAAGAACAGAAAGGACAGCAACTTGTCTGTTCTCCTTCCCCCAATTCCCCAGCGCTGTTCCCATCCCCCAATTCCCCAATAAAAGTCTTAAAAAAAAAAGAAAGAAAGAAAGAAAATGTTTCCCAACCCCTGATATAGAGGAATCCAAGCTGGAGTTTTGCTTTTCTTCAAATTGGAGGTCCAGAAGTTAAGGATTTGAAGAAATTCTTTGCACTTCAAAGCCCTGTAGTTTCAGTATTTTAAAAGACTTGCATATTTATATGATTGAGGCCATTGTGTTTATATAACTCATTGTTTGAGTGTGCCTATTTGACCCTTTAGTTTAAAAATTGTGAGTAACTATAAGAATAACTGCATCAGACTTTTTAGTATCAACTTAGTCTTTTCCTCAATATTCCAAATAGTGAACTTTGGTGCATTATTCATTTCAAGGGGTGCTTTTAAACCAAAAAACCACTTTGAAGCTTTGTTCTTGGACTAGTGATCCAAAGATAGGGAGGTTTCATAAGTATCACCTTGTCAGAGCCCCTGCCAAGGACACCTGGCTGCCAGCAAGCTCTGAATTGGTTTCTACCCATAAGGCAGCAGGACTTAGTTAAATTGAATTGCTAAGTATACTATGAATGAAGAGGCAGCAGAGGGTAAGGAGGCTCCAAATCCTGTGCCCTATCTTTTTGGAACAAGGGTCACAGAGTGCAGAATGTATGGACCTATATACCTAGGAAACAATCCATAACAGGTTTGTTTGAGTTTGAAAACCCATGTGAAACGCTGTTCAACTAAATGTCGGAACCCATTAGAGAATGACCCCTATCAGAGGCTCTTCCCCACCCCCGATTTTGACACTACTCAACAAAAACGGTGTTGATTTTTAAAACTACCTAGGTAATATATTCATAAACGTATATTCTTTTTTTTTTTTTTTTTTTTAGCTGAGCCATCCTGCTACCTGTTGGCAGCTCAGCGGCTGCTCAGCTCGGGCTGGACTTGAACCGCTGTTGCTCAGAGCTCAAACTCTTGAGCGAGCTCTTAACCAACTGAGCCACTCGGCCGGCCCCATAAACGTATATTCTTAAAGATGAGAGAATCAGTTTTGAATTTATAGTTGAAGTTAATTCTTATAGATAGATCTTTGGGGGAATTTTATTGTATTTAAGTTTGAAAACGCTATTAGAGGTTTTTCCTTATTTGAATTCATTTCTTAGTATTTTTTAGACTTTTCTCTACCTTGACCTGTTGTCACACAAGAGATAAGCATGTATGAGTGGAGAACCGCCATTTGAATTCATTTTGAATACTTCCTTGCTGTCTTCCAGAAAATCAAAGAGGAGAATGAAAAATTACTGAAAGAATATGGCTTCTGTATTATGGATAACCACAAAGAGAGGATTGCCAACTTCAAGATAGAACCCCCGGGGCTTTTTCGGGGCCGTGGCAACCACCCCAAGATGGGCATGCTGAAGAGACGGATCATGCCTGAGGACATAATCATCAACTGTAGCAAGTGAGCACAGTTCATCCTGTGGGCCAGAAATGAACTGGGGGGCTTCCTTTGTTCTTAGTAGCTGGGAATATTTCCCACTGTTTAGGGGCAATATGGTATTTCCATGTGTAGATCTCCAGGTGTTTTTTATGTATTGACTGGTGAGGAGGAAACTTGCAAATCAGTGCTGTGCAGATTTATCTACTTCAGGTCACGAAAGGTGAAATTGTTCCTCACTCCTCATTTCACTGCCCTCCTGCTCTGCTGTTTCCACAGAGATGCCAAGGTTCCTTCTCCTCCTCCAGGACATAAATGGAAAGAGGTCCGACATGATAACAAGGTTACTTGGCTGGTTTCTTGGACAGAGAACATCCAAGGTTCCATTAAATACATCATGTTGAACCCCAGTTCCCGAATCAAGGTAAGGGGTAGCTAAGACCTGCACCGGTTAGTGCGACTGGTAGTCTGTTTTTGTTGCAATGTGGTACTTTTGGCTTCTACAATCACTTTGACAAATTAAAAACCCTCCCCCCCAAAAGAAGGCAAGTACTTGCATGGTTAGCATTATCTGGTGACCTCCTTCAGATGTATCAGTTTTCTGCATTACATTGTAATCTTACTCATTTATTAATTCACAAATATTTGCTGAAATTCTGACATGTGCCTGGCACAGTGTCTGCACGGTGCTAGGAATTGTGGAGGTAATCAAGACAGATGCAGTCTCGGCCTTCACACTGTTTCACATCCAGTGGTCAGAGTGTGACAGAGAAGGTGGTAAATGTATATTGGCTTCTGGAGCACCCTTCCTCTTCCTCACTTTTCCTGGCTCTGAGGAAGGAAATATAATTGCTCTGAATCCAGAAAGAAGTTGTAAGATCTAGAGTCTTATATACACCTGGCTTTCTACGGTTTCATCTGGGTAGGTTCCATCAGGAACGAGTGGGATAATGTATGTGAAAGCACACCATAAACTGTTGTATTCCCCCTGTGTTATTGTTTACTGATATGATTATTGAAGCAGGGAAACTGTTTTGGAAGGGCAGTCAGTTCTCGTTAACCTGATATATACCCTGCTTGGGAGAGTCCCACGGACTTCCTCCCTGAGATATACTATGGAAATGTGAACCACAGCCTAAAAGAGAGACAGGCTCCACAAGAATTAGTTCTGTATAGACTGAGACTGCTTACATGCAAGGGACTGGGACTAAAGACCTTTGTGATCTTGGTTTATAGTTTAATAAATATTTGTTAAGATATGAAAGCCATAGCTCAAAAAGCTATATGTTTTATTGAAACTAAACCGCACATTTTCTCGCTTACAGTCCTGTGTTCTAATGAAAAATACCTACCTATATATTTTCTTCAGTTCAAAAATGTCACTTTTTCTAGTTCAGAATAATAATAGAATCAGAAAAAGAGCTCTCATGGCGAGCAGAAGTCAAGTCATTTAAAGAAACATGCCATATTCCCCTTCTGAAATACCACAAAGCTGTAGGGCTGCAAAGGTGGATAAACAATAGTTTTAGCCCTCAGAGAATTTGTGGGCTGGTGGGCAAATCGGGTAAGAATTCAGTTTTATTAGAAGAAAGAAAAATGCTAAATGCTTTAGATAAATAGAGCAATTATTCCCAGCAGGTAGAGATCAGGGACAACTTTATGAAGGAAATTCAGGGGAGGCTAGAGACAGAGCAGGCCACATCTCCAGAAGCCTCCTAAAATATTTTTTATGTTATCCTAAATCCATTAGGAAGCTACTGGCTTTTTTTTGG